GTTTTATTAACTTTATGTCAAATTTTCTTTGCTTTCTTTACGATTGATTGCCGGGCATTCATTTTGGAGGTCGAGTACACAATATAATGTATCATGATCAGATTAATAAATTCTTTTTTTTTTTCATCACATCATTTGGCGCAACATTATATAACAAAAAAGTCATGTGTTGTCGTAAAAAGATCATAACACTTTTAAAATTGATTCGATCGATCACCGGATATGTCTTACGGATAAATCGTGCCGGCGCGAAAGAAGAAATCATAGTTCGAGGATTTTGGCAAAAACCGTCACAATCAGAGTCATGTAATTTTAATAAACTCTTGAAAATACGTATCCGCATCTTGTATAAACAATGTCAGACACTCAATCAAAAATCGATTTGTTGCAGAATTAAATTCTCAACTCATTGCCACGATCGCTGAACTTAGAAAGGAGATTTCCAAGATTTCCAAACTTGAAAAGAAATTTGCTGAGATTAAATCTGAAAATGTGAAGCTAAAGCAGATTATTGAGGAGAATGCAAACCGTGATATTAAAGTCGAGGAATTAGAGCAAAAGAATAAAGAGCCTTAGGCTAATTTTTCAGTAGTGGAACAGAGTTCTGTGGCAGTGGATAACCACAAAATGACTCACGGGGTGAAAATCTAATGCATTTAAGGAAACGATACTAGAGATATACCAGGGGTTATCGGCTGATGATGATTCCGTAGTAGACCAGCTCAACCAACATACGCCCGTTTGTAAGCAAATGATGTGGTATCAGAAGTGTTACCAGAGGTCAATTCCAAGTTACCGGAGGAGAGATGGATAAACTCTGAATGAGGCACATAAGAAAGGTGTTGGGGATAAAATAAGGCAATACAATAAGGAGAAGAGGCTTCAAGCCCAAAACTCTACATCATATGATAAAGACAATTCATCATATGATATAAAAATAGTTTTCCAGGAAACGATAGTGATAATATTGAAAGTAGTGTAGATATTGCTTCCCAAATAAGCAATCAGCATGACAAAATAGAGCTTTATAAAAATTAAAATAAAAAACCAGATTTAATACGAGATTTACGAAATGGTATATCTGATCCTATAGAAACACCTCCCAAAGACTTTGCAAATAATGAAAAATCATCATCTAAAATCACAACACAAAGCTTAACCAATTTATTTATAAAAGTTATAATATCTGGACATGAAAAAATTTTATCCTGGATTTGCTATTGTTGTGTGCTCTCCGGCAAGCCCACACTACTGGTCGTCGCTTTTGGTTCACAATAAGGTAAGTTTCTAACTCTTGAGGCATATTTACTATTTGGTCGTTCTCTCACTTTAACTTCTCTACCGACTAACCTAGAACCCTTCCAATGCCAATTCCCTTAGGCAAACCTCGGTTTTCTCTTGTAGTCGCGTAGCCCAAGTTACAAGTCTACTTTCGCACACTAAAAACAAGGTAAGAGTTTATCCGTCAAACGTTACTTTATTGATTATTACTTAAATGCTAGTCTCTAAACTAAACTCTAATTCACTAACTCGTCTACATGCTACTGAATGGCGCATGTATTTATACATGCACCTGTTATTTATATGTTTACATCTGATCGCTACTCAACACATTAATTACGTGACGCGATGGCGTGTCACGTTACTGTGCCTATTTTTTTGCCCACGACACTATTCAAATAATTTTGTGAATAAGATTATCGAAATTTGACATAATACGATAAAACTGAAAGATCCAAAATATAAAAAAAGATATTAGAACATCTACCAGGTGTTACATAAGTTGCCTTTCGAATTAAGACTCTTAGGGTCAGAAAAATTCGTAAGTTATGGAAAATGGAGTTAGAACTGCAGTGTAAATTATATTTCAAATTAACCAATACACAATTCAAAACATTATAGATCAAGTAACTTCAAAACCCGCTTCCCAGAGAAACGATTAAAATCATGTAATCTCAACTGAGTATTTCAGATCTTTACCCAATACTGAGGTAAGTGTCTTAGATACTAAAGTATTACTTAATAATACGACTCACATCTCTAATTCCCCAGGTACAGGCAATTTTCCGAAGGCTGAAGTAATTATACCAACTACACCTCAACTCAAAAAGACTTTATTTGATTATTGTGAAATTTATGAGGGATCATTGTCCAGTATGCAAACAAGTCATAGGAAGGAAAAAGTATAAAAGGCAGATATGAAGCTGGATCCTATTTTATTAAATGTGAGGGCATGAAATTGAAATAAAAGTATAAACCATAAAGTCATCTTTTGTTCCAAGTGATCGTAAGCTAATTGACAATATTTGTTTTTTAAATTATTATTTTAGGATATGCGCATACGAGTATTCTTGTCATGTAAGTGAGACAAAGACCCAACTCATACTTAAATTGAACTTGCGACCATATAAAACAATAAACATGGATAAAGCCTTAACTCCTGAATATTTAGATTGGCATGTTAAATTGGTTGATTTGTCAAGCCTTTTGACAGACATAATCCGTTCGAGCTTATATAGAGCATATACAAAAGAAACAGTTCGATCCCTTGATATTCGTAAACTAAAAAAAGGATGATAGTAATTTTTTGATTGCTACTAGGACCCTCATTCTTATTAAAAAAGATTTTACTTATACTACAGGTAAATGTTCCACCTATGTCATCTAAACGATATTTCCCAATTTTTGTTCTACCAATAAATCCCAAAGAAAGGCAACAACACATTATTAAAATGATATTAGAGCGATTTCCTTATTTAACTCTAAAACATAGTGTCAAATATAGCAATTATTTTGATTTTAATAGATCAGTACTTTGTCCTATATGTAATAAAGATCATAAATATAAGAGATGATATAAAAAGTAAAGAGATAGTGGTGACTATGTCAATACAGAAACTTACTTCATCAAATGTTATATAATAGATATTGAACTTCAATTCAAATGGTAACAATAAAAGCATAGACTATTGACACGTTAACCAATTTAACTCGATATATTGCTTCTCAATATTAAGAAATACTTTTATATGTAAAAACATTCTTACTTGATAAAATAACGTTAAAAGAAAAGCTTTTTTATATTAATCAGAAGTTTCTTGTAATAAAAAAGAAATATTATTTAAAACACAAGCTATTTATTTGTATTAAAAATAATAGCAATAGTATTAATAAAGTAATGTATTTGATATTGAAATTCTTGAATTTTTTTTGAAATGATTTAATAGGCCTAGTAGAGTTATATTGCAAAATATAAATGATTTATTTAGAAAAATTTAACAAAAAAATTTTTTATACTAGCATTGTTTCTATAAAATATATGATCAATTAGCAAGACCAATAATGCATAATAAAATCTTTTTAATATCATCAATAAAAGCTTGCGTAATATAATTTCCGATGCAAAAATAAATATTTATATTTTATAAAGATCAAAATTGATAAAATTAATTAAATAGTTTATAGTATAAGTGCTATTTAAAGTCTAAAAGATATTTAAATTCAATTATAATAATAATTTTCCAAGTTCCTAATAAATATAATTAGTATAACAAAATGTTATGTGAATATAATGAAGTTTTCCATTTCAAAATAATATATTTAAGATAGGTATGCTTGCTAAAAAAAGTCTTCAATTTTTTATTTATCTATTTTTATAATACAAAATAATTTTTAGAAACCGAAATAAATAAATTTTATTGAAACCTTCATTTAAAAGATAAAGTAAATACATTTAATAAAACTTTAGATTCTGATCTAGACAAAAATAATATACAGTAAATGAAAATTTCTTAACAATAAAAAAATAATGGCAATAATAAATGATATTATGGTTTTTTTTAATGATAATAAAGTCATTACTATAATTTAAATAGTCGAAAATAATAATAATTTAAATTATATAATATTTATCAATTGTTTCTCATATAATCTAATTTATTTTATACTTGGATTTAAGAAAGACATATAGTATATTAATTTATTATAAATTTGTTAAGGAATAACAAATTTTAATTGGCTTTATATTATGGCAAGTTATATATAAAGCATCATTTTAAATATAATATTAATTAAGTTATATAAAAAACTATTATTTAAAGAAGATTTTGTTAAATATTATTATATTTACTAAAATGTTATCTCTTAAATTCCTGGTATTAAGTATCATACAGATTTTCCTTTCAAAGAAATATCAATATTTTGGAACCAAGTTCATGTTTGTTATGTGATCAAGAATCATTTTTGTATAAAATAAAAACTTTAATTATTATACTTATTTGTGGTAATATATTTTATTATTATTATATATCAATAAATATTCAATATATCAAATATTTGAATATAAGAAGGTGTTTTGAAAATCTAAAATTACTTGTCTAATAAATATCTTTTGCATTATTTGATAATTTTTAATATTAATAATATATTTTAGAAAAAGCACATTGGCAAATATATTAATAAACTAAATTACAATGGTTAATTAGAGAATAAAAACGAGTATTCCAGATAAATTTGTTAACTGAACTAATATTTAAAAAAGTAGAGTTTCAAATCTTTATCAATTTTTTAATTTGTATCAATATACTGTATAATCTATGTTTAAGAAACTAATAAAAAATGATGCAAGTTATTCTTTTATATTTTTATTTGGGAAAACATGGATCGGTTTAATTACTAAAAAAAAATAATTCTAAACATATAGCTAAAGAATTGGTTAATAGTGATATTAGAGTTATAGCTTACTTAGAAAAACTAAAAAGCGAGATCCCAAAATGATATTGACTTAAAACTATGTCATACTCATTGTATAAGAATGACAAGCCATTACTTTTGTAGTTTTCTTATTGTAAGCACATAGGAGACAAGGAATAAATCACATTACGTTATTCACGAATCAGTTATCATATGATTTCCGATAATAGATAATACGTAGAGTTTTTTTTCTATTTTATTTGCGCAACTTTACTATCACACTTCCAATAACCTGTGTATCTCATAACATGTCTGATTCCAATCCTTTATCAATTCTAAAACGAGAAATCAGTCGTCTTGGATTTGTTTCAGGCGAAAAAATAAGTTTACTCGCTCACTTTACCAAAAATGTAGAAAAAATTACTGTTGCAGTATCTTTTCTTGATGACTTTGTTACAGATGAAGATAAACGTACTTATTTGAGAAATTTAATATCTCCACATGGTATGTTCTAAGACAAACTTTCGTTTTCTGACATATTTGCCAATAATACCGAATACTTACTTATCTTGTGCTTTTTTCTTTCCTGCTTCTTATCGCCAAACCCGCCCAAAAACCACATTTACATTAACGTAGAACAACTCGTTGCTGGTAAGTGATTCATAATAAGCTTTTCAACGCGAGTAAACGTACTGCTTTTTCGCCATTACCTTTTAACGTGTACAATATTTTTCTCGTCATTCCTTTCCTTTTTATTATTTTTTTTTATTTCTGTTGATCTAGGTAGATCCGCTAATAAACAAAAATTAGGAAGTAAGTTTTCGTCACCGAGGAGTTGGCATAAGCGAGCTGTCGAATTTTATGTGGACCAGGATAACATATTAACGACTTTAATTTACTCATTCAGATCCGTTGTTTACAAATATATTAGAAGTGGTCCTTAATCTCAGGAAAGCACTCCCGGAAAATTTACAAGATGACATCGAAACAATGTCGGAGGAACAGGAATTAGAGCAGGAAGAGTTAATTTCAATAAATACAAATCTAATCCAGCACCCTGACAGAAAACCGCTTGCAGTAATTATGGAACATGTTCTATATGTAAGGAAATCTTACAAGGATCTATATCGCATAGTTACCAAAGATAAATACGACCCCAGGTTCCTCATATCTGGCACGTCAGGTGTCGGCAAATCGTGTTTCTTGATTTATTTATTAATCCGGCTCTTGTGCAATAAAACCGATGCCACGGTCATTTTTCGGCCAGTTGATGGTGATTTATTGTACTGTTTCAGGGATTCTAATCTCTTAGTTGGTGACTTTAAAGAATTTTCGGAGCAACTCTATTACAATTCCAAAGCCTGGTACTTGGTAGATGGTACAGTCCCCGAGGATGTTATAGCAAGAACAGTTGTTTCTGCATCATCAAAAGATATCAAAGATAAAAGATTTCAACATTTTGTTAAAAATCTTGTGAATGAATTTTGTATGCCACCATGGTCAATACAAGAGTTGGAAGCCTGCCGACAAAGTGTCTTTCCAGTCATACCACAAGGTTTAATGCTTGACCTCAGTGACGAAGCGGGTGGTGTGCCAAGATACGTTCTTCAGATACCAGCATTCATTATTCGTCAGGGAAATCCCAATCTCGAGGATCAGGATACGATTGATATGATTAAGAAAATGTCTTTAAAATACGTAAAAGAAGCCATCTGGGAAATCAATAACATCAGAAGGCTTATAAAGTGCTTTTCTGAAAATTCTCGATATATTGAACTCAACAATCACCTTATTCATCGGTGGCCAGACACTTTCTATCGAGAGCGATCCCTATCATGGGCTTCTGGTCGTATTTTTGATAAAATCCAGAAAAAACTGGAGGATAGTAGATGGAGTAATATATTTCTAAAAATTCAAGATTCTGATGACCCTTCCAGCTATAGGGGGATTTTGTTTGAGTCACACGTACTTCATCTCTTCAAGCTTGGTGATCAAACGTTTGAATCAAGGAGACTTGAAGAAAACAAGGTAAAATCTTGCATAATCCTTTTCGATAATAATTGAAAACTATTGACCATGTCCTTTTTCATTATTAGAATGATCCAGACATTTACGGTAAATTAACTATACCAACAAAACCAGCTACAAAGTATATTCGATATGCAAGCCAGCTCACAGGGTATAACCAGGAAGGAATAATCATCAAACCAACCATAAAAAGTTTCAGTGCGGTAGATTTAATCCTTACTCCGGACTGTATCTTTCAAATTACTGTGTCTCCAAAACACCCCATTAAGCAAAGTGAACTAATAGATATAGTTCAGAATATGCCGGCATATAGGAAGGATCCGGATGCAAAAATTTTTTTATGTTTTATTGTGCCGGATGATATATATGATATCTTCACATACCAAAGTTATGCAACACCCAAGAAAAAAGTAGGAATCGATCTTGGGGCCTTTCAAGCAGTTAAACATAAGTTCCCTATCCTCAGTAATGTAGAACAATGGGTCGTAAAAATTAAAATGACGCCTGAAGTGACTGTAACGTCTGTACTGAACAACGCGATGACAGTGGCAAATTACTGGTTATAAGATTTCGCAATGTCAATTACTTATTGGGTACTTAGGTTCTAAGAATTTCAGAGTAATGATATAGAGTATATTGTCTTATATATTACGGACATGTTATTCGCTAATTTACTTAAGAAATAGCTTTATTGTATAGAATTTATTTTACTAAAGAATTTCTTTGTGAGACAGAAAAGCTTGATTTTTTTTTTCATATTAGTGATGATAGAATGCAACGGATGTTATATATATAACAATAAAAACATTTACTGCATCATTGATTTCAAATTTGAATTTGGGAAATATCAAATATGTAGCATTTACGGTCTCGAAATTTGGCATTTACCCGATTTTTATAACATTGTTAACGAATTTCGTCGGATTGTAAATATCTTGATAAAGTTTACATATCGAGTTTTGTTAATGTGTATTTTGATCTAGCCACTTCGCTAATTGTGGTCATTATCTGACTGGATTTTTAAGCAAGACTTGGCTTTAAAAAATTTTATTTCTAACGGCTCGTCGAATAATGTTGCTTTTGACTCCCCCTCATTAGTTAATTCACCGTGAACTTATTTTATTCAAATTTCGTGTGGGAATTAAGCAAGCAATAGATGCGTTAAATGGTAAATGAAATGAATCTGTTGTCTCGAAGGTCTCGAAATAAAATAAGCGAAAAAAGTTAGTATTATATGTCAAGAAGAACTTACTGATATAACAATAGTCAAAGAATCCACTGCTAACTTCAATACTACTCAATAAAAAAACTGAGATTTCTATAATACGGTAGTAATAAGATAAGTTAAAGTATATAGTTAAAGGAGTTTTTTAGCAAGTAGTGAGATATTTTTGATGATATATGAATTAAGACTTGAAATATAGGGTTGGCCATTTGCCATTCGATGCAATATAGGATCTTCCTTGCGAAGCTTTATACTTATTATTATTAATGAGTTAATATTGTTATATTACTGTTGTTTCTGTTACAAGGGCGGGAGACCACCTGAACTAATATGATTTTATTTCAATATTATTTAATATTTATTTATTTTTATCTAGTATAAAATTCAACTTGAGAATGTCTAGCAATATATTTTGTCTCAATAAATTTATGATAACTTTTTAACTAGTGACCTTAGATCAAGTAGCTATTAGCAATATGTTATTATTGGCTTATATTTTAAGAAAAGTTTCTTGAAAAAAAAAACTAAGACCAATTATTCAAGAGTTACTTAAGCAAAATCTTTTTCATTAAGTAGAATAAAATCCAACTCTTTTTAATTTTGTGCACTTTTTAACAATTATCTCTATAATTTGTATTTTGTTTAAAAAATTTGTATGATATACTTTTAACAATTATCTAAATATAATTTGGAATTTTGTTAAAAAAAATTTATATAAAGATAATAATAATGATAACAGAAATTTTTAATAATATAAAGTACTTATTCAATTCTAATCTCTTCTGAAATACTATATTTGCAAGATTTATTTATTATTTTTAAAAAAAAATCACAAACAGACATCAAATGTGAAACTTTTATTAAACAAGAGTTTATAACCATTACATTAAAGATCTTTATATATGTGGATTAATTATAGCCTATTGCAACTTTTCCTGTTAAAACCAACTTATATCAAGTAGATAAGCCCATGAACAATATTGAATGGCCTATTCAAAATGATGATATAATTGCAAGAGTAAAAATGATTTTATTTGTTAGATTATTGATAATTATTAACATGTTAAATATTTTGTAAAATGCTGTATTATTATTTTGATATTATAATTAAATCTTGTGACTATAGTTTTTTTTTATTTGATTTCTAAAATTAATAATATAGTGACAGTTATTGAATATTCTTTTCAAACTTTATAAAGAATTTTAATCACCTTATTAGAGGTTACAACTTTATTATTTTGAATTTTATCCAATAAAGATATAAGTTGTCAAGTGCAAAGTTCACTATATCAAATATTAATATTGTGATAAAAGTTAAAGAATATACTTTTTTAATATCAGTTGATTGAAATAAGCTCTTTTTCAGAAAATTTATGATTTTTTTTTCTGATTGTAAATAAGATCTAGATATACAAAAAAATATGTATTTAATCTTCTGAATAAGTTTTGTATTATGAATAGAGATTATTATCATATAGGTTTGAATATTTCTTGTAAAGTTTGATTTTTATAAGTAGTTGGTTAGTAATAAGTTTAATTTAAAAAACTATAAGACTTTTGAATTTCAGTTGATCACTTTTCATTTATTTCTTGTTAGTATTGCAGATAAGTTCTAAGGCAACTCTTGAAATAGTTTTGTAAGTTGCTAACTGGCTTAAAAAGATATCAAAGAAATTGGTATGACATAATTTTAATTATAACCTACATATTTCTTAGAAGAAATTCCATATTATCACTTTTGAAAAAATTTAAAATTTTATTTTTAAAAGAAAAACTAGAACATCTTTACCTTTCCAAACATACCAGAATCCATAAAGAAACTAATCAACAATATTAAAATGATCAATTATATAAAAATAATTAATAACAATAATATACAATTTGATTTTTCTTCTGCAACAATCCCTGTATTAACTCTGAACTTGTATTATCTCTTGACAATAATCAAGCTTAAAAATTATACAAGCCTGAAACAATTAGCATATGTGTTATTTCATTTTTATATAAAAACAATATAAACTTATGCAGCATATAAAATATCTTTAAAATAGAAATTAATGACTTTTCTATATAAATTGAGCCACACTTATTATTTATAATCAATTTTCTATTTTGGACAGATGAAACTAAAGCTGTATTATTAATCTCTATCAATAGTTAATAAAAAAACAACATTCAAAATACCACTTCAAAAAATGAGCAAACCAAGATTTTCATATATTGTAAGAAAATAATCAACTGTTTCAAAACTTTAAAAAACATTTTAAAACTCTTTATCAAAATTAGAAATGACTTCAAAGGCCCTTAAATTCTTACTAAATCTATTTTCTCAAAAATTGGACACAAGAACAAAAATTTCATTAAAATATTTGTCAAAAACAAATTAATCAAAGGTCAATACTAACTTGAATATAAAAAGATTAAATATAATCTCAAAGCAAATTATATTAAAACAAATAATATCGAATATATTTCCAAAATAACTAAGAAAAAAATCAAAATAATTATCAATACAATATTTTTTTTTACTTATCTTAGATTAATCAATCTTATAAAATTAAAATATTAATAAGTAGTTCAACTCTTAAAATATAGCTTCAACTTTTTCTTTAATTTTATACTTACAAAAATAAATTATCAAAAGCTATATAACAAATATAAAGAATTAATTAAAATAAAGCTATTAAATATTTCTGATACATTTAACAATATTTTGACATTAATCAAAATTAAACTACCTAAAGTCATATCTATTACTTCTTCAAAATTTACTAAAAAAGTGATAAAATATTTTAGAGTTTATTATAATTTTAATCTACTTTCTTCCTCCTTTTTTGTGCAAAGATCTGATCTTTCTAATAACTTTACCAATCTTAGAACAGAAGTTTAAGGCATTTTTCTGCTTACAAATAAAGCTAATCTAAGAAACCTATATAAACTTGTTGGCAAATTAAAAGACTATTATTATGTCTCTATTAAACTATCTTAATTTTATTTTAATTTATTACCACCTAAACAATCCTTCTCTCTATTATATATAAACCTATCAGAATATATTACCTATTATTTTTCTGTTAACAATGATCCAAAAAATATTTAAGAAGCAATTCAAATTCTCAAAAATAACAATTTTGCTTTAAAAAAACTGTCACAAGATTATATCAAACCTAAAAGATCTCTCTTATTTTTTTACTAATATAATGAAAACAATAGCAATATTTTACTTATTATTAAGCAAAACAAGATTAAGAAATTCATCTAGCAGCTTAGAAACAAGTTTTTTTTCAAACTTTTTTTAAGCCCTAAATAAATTAAAGAAATTTAGTTCAATTAGAAAAATCAAATATTTCAAAGAAGCTCTTATAAGTTAAAAATGAATTAAAAATTATAGATGAAAACTTGAATAGAAACCACTTCAACTTTAATATAACAATCAAGAGAATTAAAGATTTTTATTTGTGAGAAATCCTAAAAAAATAGATCTCACTACTTCTGCTTGACTTTCTAAATCTTATTAGTATACAAAAAACACTCGAATCAAAAATATCATATTATTTATTTCCATAATTAAGAATAAAATCCTTATAAACAAAATCAAACTTCTTAGAAAACTATTTTATTTTGAAAAACTTTTAGCAAAATTTGTTATTAAAACAGAGTCATCTAATTCAGACTTGATTCTTCTTCTCAAGTTTACTTAAATATAAATGTAACAATATCTAATTCAAGTTAATTATTCAATTTTAACAAAAAACTCTTTCCTGACCACATCTGTTATGTTAAAAATTTTTCTTTTATGGTAATTTTAAGCAAGAAAAAATGTTTTACACTCTTTATCGCAAGTGAGCCCCAGCTCAAGAACTCAAGAACCTTCAAGACAACTGGTACAGTAGGATAGGACCTCTGGTCAAAGTCTATTCAAGTTTGGGAGTCTTGCTTATCCTTCGGTTGCATGAGAAAAGGCCTGTGGCAGTTTTCTTTTCTTCAGTTCTCTTGCATCTCTCCTTATCCTTATTATATTATAAAAACCATCTACATTATTACCATCATATTCGCTAAATCATATACTTTCCAAAATATACACTCAAACAGAATCAGTGGATCTATTGTTTGTTTCAAGTCAATCCTTACACACAATATTTTCGTAGTAATATTTGCTGCGCCACTTCAAAAGTTCAAAAATTTTTCAAACAAAAAACTGAAATACATTTATCCCCTCCAGATAATCAGCACTCTCCAATCATCCAATCAAATTTCGCATAAAAATCAAAACAAAAACCATGCCAGCTCAAACCAGTTTTGTGCCACAATAACAACTTTAACAACAAATAACATCACGTG